CGCCAGTCCTCAAAAGAAATGCGTGCACTGCCTGGCTAAGTTGTTCCGTGGGACATTCATATGGCACCAGGGAGGAAGAAGGGAGAACGCGAATTCGTCCTGTGAATTCATCAGAGATGCGAATTCGTCCTGTTGTATACATATAAGCACACATGACGCCAACAAAGGAGTAAAGCTCCTTCGTGGGCAAGTTGCTTCCCTCGTATATAAGTCATTGTAGCACGACCTTACACGGGTATACTGAAGAGCACCGATCACCGTGAGCGTTAATGCACAACTGGTTTGTTGTGCCACTCCAGAATAAAAAAAAACAATAGTCGCACTGAGTCGCGCACCGTTGGATCGCAGCAGAGCTTGTGGACACCGGGCTGGCCCTGGCTTGGCTATAGGCTTTTACCCTCTCACCTGTCTCTTTCCCAACTCTTCCTACAATATACACGGCTATCCTTGCTCTCCCTCTTTTATCTTTCTTAGTCAGAGTCTTTCTATCTCGTTCGCTCTGTTGCCTGCTTGTTTCTATGTCTTTCTATTCGTTATCTTCTTCCCTTTCTTTCTCTTTTCCTGTGTATTTCTTCCTCTATCTCTCTCTATAATCATTCTCTATCCCTTATATCTTTCTCACTGTTTGACCATAACAGCCGTGCTCAAAAACCCTTATAGCAAGTGTCTACCGCAGAAATCTGACAAGTCCTAACAACTCATCATACTTGCTCGCTGAAAATTGACAAAGTAACGCACGCGTGGTGAAGGCTGATTAAGAGTCTCACATTTCGGCTTTTCTTCTTAACCATCTGTACACTCTTTTAAGATTATTGAGCGCGTGTCAGTAAGTGGTGGTTATAATTTTTCATACATGAAACAGGCCAAATTAACCCCAACAGCTCTGCAGTGAAAACAAGAAAGCCTTCAATTCAGTCGAGCGCATGTGCACATGTTCTTAGGAGTATCTAAAGAGAGAGGGCAGAGAGAACTGCAAAAGCCATGGCTCATTAGCAAATAAACATATTGATGTGTCGTAGACGATATGCGTGACTCTTCTAATGCGAAAATTTTTCAGCAGAATGTATCTATGGACTAGGTGACTGCCTCCCATGCCGCTGTCCCTATCGACGCTGGATAGCTATAGGCCGTGCATTTCTATCGTTGACGTCGTGCAGCGATAGAAACGCACGAAGTATCGGTGATCCTAGACAGCCGCAGAGACTTTGTGACCAACGTTTTCTTGCTGATATGGTAGATATTACAGCGTCGTTGTCGTCCGTATATGTACGGGCTGCGAGTCTCGAACAATGTGCGCAGGAGAACAAGCGAAGCGCATATCGGAAGCTTTTGGGACGTTAAACCCCACATATCAATCAATCAATCATATCGGAAGTGGTGTTTGAGAACACGAGCCATTTGCGTTCGAGCGAGAAAATGCGAGCAAGCTCGTGAGTGTGCACTCGTGACGAGGAGAGCAGAAACCGTGGAAGCTGATCCTCCCTGTCGATAAAGTGAGTGCAAAGATTGATTCCTTAGTCTCAGCAGCTGCAACACGTGTAAACCCATGGGGACAGAGGGAGATAAAGATGCAAGGAAAGGCAGGGAGGTTAACCAGGCGCACGTCCGGTTTGCTACCCTGCACTGGCGAATGGATGAAGGAGAGAAAAGAGGTTGGAGAGAGAGAATAAAGATACACAATCACGGGCACACTCGGGGGAGTCTACAGGCGGTCTACACGAAGTTTACATGGAGTCTACACGCAGTCTACAGGCGGTTGCTCAGGTTTGTTGTCTTCAAGTAATGTAGGAGCATTTAAGTCGTTTTCTGCGCAGTTGAGGCAGACGCCCACGGTCCCAGAATCTTCTGCACACAGAATGGTCTAGAGTCCAGTTAGTTGAAAACCATGCGGAGCTGGCGTCGCTGCGTGTTGTAGCATGCGCTGCTGCACAGGACGTGTTCGACGATCTCTTCAGCTCCGCAGGAGTCGCATGTAGATGTGTCTGTCATACCGATGCGAAAGGAGTACACCTTTGGGAATGCAACACCCAACCAAAGGCGGTATAACAGTGCCGCATCGGAACGGGAAAGTTGCGATCGTAGCTTTATCTTGAGTGAAGGATCCAATTAATATGAGTGACAAGGGAGCACCTATATTACAGTATACCCTAATCTCAAGCGCCAATATTTTTTTTTTAGCGAAGGCCACAGAGGATGCTGAAATGAAACAAAAAGTAAAAAAGAGGTGGAGATTTACAAACCATCCGAGTCTTGACTTCAGTCCTGCATTGGAATAAAAGTTTTATTTTTGTTTTTCATGGAACTTCGTTATGTTTCAATCGCGTTAGAAACGTTCCACTAACAAATAATGTGCTATATAATTTTACAACTTCCAAGTACAAAAAAAATGCAAGTATAATTCAGTTGATTAAACATTGGTAAAGAAATGGAAATAGTCGGTTCCTGTGACAAAAACTTTGACTTCTATGGCCTTGGACAAAATACTCATCTCCAGGTTTTTATCAAACCAAGTTTTCATAATTCAACTGCGATATGTCAGCGAACGCCTCATTTGTAGTCCACCTTTGTGCGTAGAAAACACGCACACAGACAGTCTTTTACTGTACTCTTCTTGTAAACATAGACTAGTAATTTTAAAAGAGCCGCGAATAAAGACTGATTCATGTCGCGCGCAGTTTACAAGATTCACCTCTTAGTCCTGCCTTTACAAGTTGGTGATCCAATATCGAATGTGTTGTGTCCCCTCAAGTGTCCTCGTATACCTTCCGCTACGCAGTCATGTAAAAAATGAAGAAGTGCGGTCTTAATATCTCGGAAGAATCCCATGTGGTGCAATATTGCGGGCCGTGGCTGTGAATTTTCAGGGATTGGTAAGGAAGCAAGGAACAGGAGAGAAATGAAAGGCAGGAATGTTAACCAATCTAAAGGATTGTTAAGGTAAAAAAAAAGAAAGACCATGCACGTTGAAATAACCAAGCCTAAATACCAACTTGCATCACTGTTCATCGATAGCGTGTACTTACCTAATAAATGTTTTCTTGTTAGTAAAAAGCTGTTGAAAATAAAACTTATCAGAAAGTGTGTCACCGAAAAAAAAGTCTAAATCACGTGACGGCGGACTGTTCTGCATACATTTCCCGGTCCTTCTCTCTCTTTTTTGCCGTTGCCGTCCGCTTATTTAGTGCGGTAGCATTCTCAGATACGAAAATGAGAGAAGAACCGCTGTTGGGGCGCGTACCACAGTGCAACAATATAGATGCGCCGGAAACTGTTTCCAGAGTGGCACGAGCGAGTTTTCATACGCAACTTGGAAGATATACGACGGTGTTTACGAACGCGGCCGCAGCTACTGCACGTGACGATTGTTCCATTCTGGCATTGGAACGGCGCAAGCACCCGCGAAAAAGCGTCATGGAAATTCACCACATGAACGTAAATATCTGTAATGCTTCCTCTGCGGTCTTTCTGCACAACTTCAGTTGACATGCAGAAATTCTCCGAGGCATGAAGCAAGCTTGTAACTTAACAGTCTAAGTTATTGTAGTATGGAACACTAACGAGTGGTGTCATTAGAAAAGCAGTTTAATAGAACTGACATTTATGCGATTTTCAACGCATTCATGATTGCCCCGCCGTGGTGGTCTAGTCGCTAAGGTACTCGGCTGCTGACCCGCAGGTCGCGGGATCGAATCCCGGCTGCGGCGGCTGCATCTTCGATGGAGGCGAAAATCCTGTAGGCCCGTGTTCTCAGATTTGTGTGCACCGTAAAGAACACCAGGTAATCTAAATTTCCAGAGCCTTCCACTATGGCGTCTCTCATCATATGGTGGTTTTGGAATGTTAAACCCCACATATCAGTCAACGCGTCCTTGATTACACAACGGGGCCAAGCATTAAACAAGACTGAATAACAGCGCTAACAGCGTAGGGTATTAGACGGGAATGGCTTTACGCTCTCCCATGGTAGAGTGCCGAATGCTATGAGTCGTTAGACACTTTTGTCTGTTGTAAACGCACACCGTCACCATGACAGGAATCCAATAGTAGAGTATTGTAGTAGAGTATAATTCAATAGTCGAGTGCTCTAAATTATCAACCTTTTTTCCCAAACAGAACACGTGTCTGAACTGGGATGGCTTTCTGCTGTCCCTTGGCAGAGTACCACGTACTCTAAACTGTTAAACGCTTTTTTCTAAACAGAATGATATGTGATTCTGTGCAAGCTTGGTGACTTTTCGCGTTCACTTTCCTCTTTGTTTCCTTCAGTTATCTGTGGCAGTGTCGCAGTGCTATAAGTTATATTGTACATATGCTCTTTTGTTGATGTACATTCCACTGAAGCCATTTTGTTACACGGTGCAGTTCTACTCCCCTGAACTGCTATTATACTGGTATGCAATAAGGTTCCCGTTCACCTATGGTTCTAAACATATTACGTAAGAAAGCTTAGACGATGTACACGAACTATAGGAAAGCACCGATTGTCTTTCCGAGCATGAAGTTACTTGACGCGGGCCTGGTTGCACGATGCTTCAGCTATGAAAAGGTCCGTGCAGCGAACGCCCGCAGGGTTGCTGCTGAAAGCCGTCGGCCGACATCGGTGAAAGAACGCGACGGGCGTCTTTCGCCCAACTCGGTTCACCGGCCCCGAAGAGGCCTCCCTGCGCATCGAGGCCAATTACGCCTGAAAGGCGATGTTGCCGCCGCACCAACCAACTGGACCGGACATGACGTTGACTGTTTCGGAGACCTCTGTCGCCGATGCCGTCGTCCAAACGCTGCCAAATCGTCGCATCTTCTTTATTTCCCGCCAGCGTTCCACGTGCTTGCCACCACAGAGGCACGTAACTGCTACGTCACCATCGCGTCCGCGGCCCCCTCAACGGGATGCCGGATCTCTCTCGCCGCGCGCTGCTTGATTGTGCTTCAAAAAAGGGCGTCTCTCGCCCTCTTCCTGTGTATTCCCCTTTCCCTCGATTCTTTCATTTCGTGCTGGCGAGGGGTTGGGTTTCGTGGCGTGCGGGTGTGCTGCGTTCTGTAACCGGTTTCCAAGCGGCGTCACTTGCCTCCGCACTAGCGGCAGCAGTAGATCGTCGTCCTCCCACCACTCTGCGTGCGCGGGAGCCCGTCACCCCGGCGATCGGCCGCGGTGTTCACTTGTCCGAATCGGAGCTCGTCATGGTCACGTGAGGGCTTCCGTGGGACACCACGAGACAGCAGGCGTGTGCCTTTTCTTCTGTGACAAACAGAGCCGCGGTTCCTGCGCGCGCTTATCCCTCTGCTGTAAGCCGGCGTTGGAACACCCTAAGGCGGCACCATGTTTTACATGCTCGTAGCCCCGCTCCACCGAGCGGTCAAGATCAACCGCATCGTTCTCGACAACCAGATATTCCGCCTGCACTACAAGGCCACTTCACTGCTGCTGCTCATGTTCAGTATCCTGGTGACCAGTACGCAGTACTTCGGCGAGCCCATAGATTGCATTCAGCACGACTCGGTGCCAGCGAACGTCATCCGAACCTTCTGCTGGATTCACTCGACATTCAACGTTCCGGCGGCCTTCAACGCAACCGTGGGCGTCGATGGGGTCCCACACCCGGGAATTCAGAAGTACACTCCGGATGAAGTTCGACGCTACTACGGATACTACCAGTGGGTCTGCATGGTGCTCTTCCTGCAGGCCGCCTGCTTCTACGTGCCGCGCTACCTGTGGAAGTGCTACGAGCAGGGTCTCATTCGCAGTCTGGTCCAGGACCTCGACTGTCCTATCAAGGAGGACGCCGACGTGTGCCGAAAGACCGAGGTCGTCGCCCGCTACGTGCGCAACCACTTGAACATGCATGGCCGCTACTTCGGCTGGTACGTGACCGCCGAGGTTCTCAACTTCGTCAACGTCCTCGGTCAGATCCTGCTGACGGACGCCTTCTTGGGCAACATGTTCACCACGTTCGGCACCGACGTACTCAACCACCACAACGAGGACCCGGACGTTCGCAACGACCCTATGATCTGGGTGTTCCCGCGCATCACCAAGTGTTCCTTCCACCTGTATGGTTCGTCTGGAGACGTGATGAAGCACGACGCCCTGTGCCTGCTCGCGCAGAACATCATCAACGAGAAGATCTACATCTTCCTCTGGTTCTGGTGGGTCATCCTAGCCACGCTCACGGGCATCGAGCTGGTGTACCGCCTGGCGACCATCGTGTTGCCGAAATTGCGCGAGATGATTCTGCGGTACCGGGCGCGCATGGCCGACCGTCGCATGCTCGAGATGGTCACCAAGCGCGTCTGCATCTCCGACTGGTTTCTGCTGGACCTTCTCTGCAAGAACATGAACCCGGTGCACTATCGCACCTTTATCAACGAGCTCGCCAAGTCACTGGAGGACGAGTACGGCAAGAGGCTACTCGCCGGAGTCGACACCTCCAACACGAGCACCGTCTGATTTTTCAACTCGCCATGGGAGCCCCCCGTGGCTTGCTGGAAAAGATAAGATGACCTTGTCCGCGTTGTCGCTGGCCGGGACTGTTTCTAATCAAAGCGCCCTGTGTGGTTCGTGAATCTCGACTTCGCACGCGCGGTTATGACAAGTGTGTCAGATGCCAAAAGCCATGCCTATTCCGTGCGTTATAAGCTGGCGGTTCGTTTAGAATTTTGTGTTCTTGAAATAATAGCGCCGGTATTTTCTCTGTTGACAGTGCAGCTTGTAGCGTTAGACGCTAAGTGAACCGCGGCCTTCGTTGCTCGAGTGCAATGAACATTTTATTTTTGTACGCGCTTTAGCAGCAACATTTTTTTTTTCAGTCAGGGTAAGACAATTTCATCTTCTCCTTCAAGACGCACTTATGCTCTGCATCTCAAAATGCTATGCGCTGCCAATGACTATAGGTTTATTTAGAAATTTACGGATGCCATAGGAATACAGGCGTGATCGGCTTCTTTGTTGTGCCCTAATATAGGATGTTCGTTCCAAGACGAGAATGCATGTGCTTGATATCTGAGAGGGTGATCATTTGTGTTTTTGTTTGTTCCTAAAACGGCTGACAAGGGTTTTGCTTTTTTCATTTTTTTACTGTTGACAATCTGGGAGATACGATGCGATATTTTGTTACAGGCGTCGTTAAAAGCAGGGTTTCTGTTTTCACGGCAATGTTATCTCGGTTAACGAAAAAAAAAACATTTTTACAAACTGCCAATGTACAACTGCATGCGACCCAAGTGCCGTACTTTCTTCATGTTAACTCGCTATGTCTTGTGTGTGCGTGTGTTTTCTGGTGAGTGTCATTGTGAATGGACATCATTGAAAAAAGTGTTCTGTGGACTTACCTCTTTTTTTTCCCCTTGAGGGGTTCTTGTTTCAAACGTGTCACAATTCACCGCACAAGTGACGAAAAAATATACAGAGTGGAATGAAAAAAAAAGTCTCGTGTTCTGACTTTGGTTGATCGTATAGCATGGTAGCGATCACCTTTTGGATTCTCTGTCTACATGAATCAACATGGGACTAAACTATTATTCATTGTCCAATGGAAAAAAAAAGACAGCAATTTATAGATATATTTCGTTTAACACAAGCTTGTTTTAACGAAACGTTACGTGCGGTTGCGAAATTCAATCACAGTCTTGGAGGAGCAGTCCTACTGTACAATCAATAGCAGCAAATTTTCTCGCGCACGGCGATTGTAACTGCGCATTGTGCGCGGCGTCCTTCCAAATGCGAGGTGCACGCCACCTGGCTGATTTTGCGAAGGTCACGAGAACGTAGAATAAAAAAAAAAACAGACATATACGTTTCCTAAGGGGCCATTTCACCTGTCGTTTCACTCGAGAAGAATGCACGCGGGGGCGGGTCAGACGCACCATTACTCGTCGCCGCGGAAGGTCGCGCACGGGCCTTTAAACGCAGTCCGTGTTAAGAAATGGTTCTTATTGCATCAGCAGGCCGTAAGACATGAATGTGTGATGCGTCATGCTAGTCTACCGAGTAAAAAAAAAATGGCAGCATATCCAAGGAGTGAATGATAATGAGTGGGGCGAAGCTTTGAAGGGTTTTATCGGCAAACCATCAATCATCCACTGGCCGCGTTCGTCCGTACGTCTGTGTGTCCGTATGTCCGTCCATTCGTCCACCTAGCGAACACTCCAAGTACCACTATCTCGCATCTTTTCATCATATATTCATCATATACAAGTACCGCTTTCCAGCGGACATTCGAAGAACTAAAACGAGAGGTGTCTACAACATCCAGGAGGCGCATGACGTATACGCCTCAAGGAGCTTCGCCTCTAAAAACGCGTCGTTGCGAGCACTTGAACTCGAAAGCCGCCGTCTTTTTGTTTCCACTGATCTTATTCACTACCCCCAAAAGCTTCCTGCACTGCCTCCGAGATTGGAGAACGTGCCTTTTCACTTCTTACGCGAACAGGTCTTGTAGCGCCTTCGGGATCGGCCCACCTTTCACCAAGCGTTGACGTCATCCAGTGGCGTTATGGCGACATCAAAGTTTTGATGACCAGTGGGGTCCATATATTTTCCTTAAATGAACTATAGGAAACTCAGGTGCTGCGATCGTTCAGCGACCATGGGAAAGATGAGTACACGGATTTGTCTGGCCTTCGTACTTGTGGGCCTGGAATCGCACTTCAGGCTTCGTTTACTGCTGTGTTTCGGTTTTGTTTCGAAGAAAAAGACCAACCGTTTTCAACTTCGTGACCTGATTTGAAACAATACACCTAAAAAATGAAGGTGGTGAAGCAGAACTGCTGAATGTTTGCTTATTTTTGTTTCGTAGCAAAGCAGCTCCAAGCCATGCGAACACAAACAGAGCCAGAATTACACAGATTAGACAAAGCCATGTATTTATTACCCACCATTTCCATGCTCGCTGAAGCGCCGTGCGTTACAGCTCCCATAAGCAAGCGCCAGAGCTACCTCTAGTATATTTATAAGAATTTTTGTGGTTGAGTCATGATGGGGTTGTAGGGTTACGTCATCGCGGGAAAGAGAGAAAAGACTTTATTGAACACAATGGGCCGGCAATTTGGTCTCGGTGGCTTTAGGTGGCGGCTCGTAGTCCCTGGACACGGGCGTCATCCTCGGCCTGCCGGACGGCCCAGAGTTGGTCGTTCAGCTCTGGGCTTTGGAGGGCCGCCTCCCAGCGGTGGCGACGCTGACGAAGAAGGTCCCCTGCGGCTCCCGCAGCCGGGGCGGCGGCAGGAACGAGTGAGCTCGAGGCTCCCTGTGATTTGGTATTGACGGCCGCTATAGGCGCATCGCGATTGGTGGCGTTTTCACGGCTGTCGTCGCGGACACATTCCCAGAGCATGTGGCTCAGCGTTGCTCTGTGCCCGCACAGATTACATATATCGGTGGGGTATATGTTCGGGTAGAGGTGGCGTAGAACGACCGGGCTAGGGTAGGAATGGGTTTGGAGTAAGCGAAAGCTTACGGCATCTCTCGCCTGTTTAATTTCTCGTGCGGTGGCGGGAACCTACGCCTTTCGAGCCTGTAGTGTTGGGTGATATCACGGAACGTTGTAAGACGATCACCCCATGACCATTCTGAATCCTGTTGCTGCGTGCCTATCAAAGTGCCTTGATCCAGCAGATGCATCGCCCCGCTCTCGGAGTCAGAGGCGGCGGCCACATAGTGAGGCGCGACTCGGCAAGTGAAACCTCGAGCAGCGGCGTGGGCCGCCTCGTTTGTCGCGAGAGGAACGCTGGTGTGGGCCGGGGTCCATAGGAGGAAGACCGTTTGAATTTGGGGTTGTGAGCGGGACGTCGAGTCGCCATCTCCGCACATTTGAAGGATGCGCGCCGCTTCCCGCGAGATACAGCCACGCGCGAAACTGTGGACTGCCGCTTGCGAGTCGCTTATCACAATCTCTGCATGCGGTGCTGCGGCGAGTGCTAAGGCTATCATCGAGGGAACATTTTTACAGCGGAAGCTGTTATGAAATCACAACACGTTTCACGTGCGCGCCGTAGTTGTATGCCGCCGCTGCCGGTCTCTGTAGTCACTATCGCACGAAATAAGAAAAAAAAAGCTGAGTAAACAAAAAACGTCAGACACAATGGGATTCGAACACGGGTTCCTGCGTGCCTGCCTTGCATTCAATAAATGAGCCTCGCTGGAGCTTAGAACTAACTCCTTTGCAAACTGGCCTTATAGGCAAGCTTGATGTCGGGAAAGGAATCGTTACTATGAGAAATTAAGCCTTTTAGAACAGCACAGGAACAATCAAGTGTCACGTACATGATGCGAATTGCGCAAAGAGTTGATCGTCGAAGTCCAACCATTTACAAAAGCTCCATCTTGTTCACATATTAACTGTGGCGCATACCCGCTGTGTGGGATTATGAGGATAACAAACGATTCTGCCTTAATTCATCATCGTCAAGCACAGCACGACAAAATTGCTTAAAGTTCCTTGCAAGTGAGCTGCAGGCACCACGCTTCTCCGAAGGCTAGCATGGTGAATGCCTGAGTACTACACAATTATTCGTGGCGCAGTGGGTACCCTGCAAGTGTGCGTGATAGTTACCAAAAGAGTGTCTAAAAAAGGCTCTGCAAGGCTGATCTTCCAGCTTTCGCTCTGACAGGGCTGCGTGTTCCGTGCAAGCCTGGCGTTTTTTTTTTGTTTTTTGTTTTGCTTAAGCCGGGTTGACTATGTCACGGTCACTTTGCGCGGACGACGAGACCTGTAATATGTACTGTGAGGGATAGGTGGACCGTTGAAGCAGAAAAGCGCTGATTTGCTTGGGAGCCTATACGCAGTAAGTTTTAAAATGCGCGCTCTCGGCGTTATAAGTCATGTAGGAGGGTCAGTCGGGGATATCCAAAGGCTTCGCAAATGGCAGATTTGGGCTGCGTAAAGTTCTAGACTGTGCCGTTAGGTTAGGACGCTCTGACCACTGGAACTGAATTGTCTAGAATGTATGTTTTATGAGCTCGGTTCTTTCGAATCGTGTCTGACAGATCCAGTCTTCCTTCGAGCCAACTCGGTGCTAGCCTTTAGCAAAACACAAATGGACCAACCAAGAACAACAACAAAAAAGCGTAGCTTGCACCCAACGAAATTAGGTCACAGCAGAACTGGTTGGCACCTAGGTGGCCGTGGCTTGGCTCGGCTTGTACACTCTCTTCTGTCTCTTTTCCACTCCTTGATATACTATAATATACATGGCTATGATTGCTTTCTCGTTTATTTCTTTATATTAGTACGTGTCTTTCTCTATGTGTCTGTACTTGTTAGTCCGTCTTTTTCCCCTTTCTTCGCTGTTTTTTATTTCTATTTCTCTCTCTCTTTCTCTCTAAAGTCGTTTATCGCTTCCGCTTCTCGACCTTGACAGCTCTGCTGTAAAACTTCTACAACGCACATGTGCCACATAAATTGGGCAAACGCACAACTCACTACCCTGGTCCACTAAAAGTTAACGAATGAACACGCGTGCGGTATACCGTTTAGAGGCCGCGCGTTTCCAGCTTCTCTTGCTGAACACCTGCACGCAAAGTTTTGGTGGACCTTGGGAACGCACCCATGCGTAATGAAGATAATTTTGGATCTGCAACATATGGAAAACCTTTTGCGTGACACCTCTTCTGTACCAAAAAAAAAAAAACTAAACACAAAACTTGTTATTGAACCGTATTACGATCCCGATAGCATAGCCAAGCTTGCGTGGACAACGATATTGTCTGGTATCGCAAACCACAATAAAACCTTTGAAAAGATGCACATCGAGCAACGCAGATGCCATAAGTGACTCGTTCTCTGGCTTTCGTGCCGACCGGTTGTGCCCCCGCGATCTCCGACGACAGCGCAGCTCTGGCCGACTAGGCTCGCCCTACGCCATCTGCTGACGTCGCGACAAGAGCTCTCGCCAAGTGGTGCCTCGTCCTCGGATTCCTGCGACCGTGTCCATCTTTCCTATCTCCTCTTCCGTCGTTTTCTGTCGTTCGCTGTCCTTGCGCCTCGCTCTATCCTTCCTCTCCCTGTATATTTACCTTTTAATCATATCTTTTTAATCCCTCCTTAACCCGCCCCTGGTGAGCTACTGTTGAGGTGTCCTCCCCCTGAGAGAGAGTTACGGGGCTCACTCTTCTCTTCTTTTCATTTAAAATCATTCAAATCACTCACATAGATGACATCAGCATCGGCCCTCCTGCAATCGCTCGGACCGTCAATAGACCGATCCCACAGGCCAGTTTCGCGACGCCACCGCTGCCGCGGCAGCCGCGGTGCATGCCGGTACTTGTAGTCGTCCGGGCGCACCAGCCAGCCGAAGTGCCTGAGCGTTCCCTTTTCGATAGATTTTTCGGTCGTGTGGAGCCGTCTTACGATGGGAGGATTTACGTGCTGTGTTCCTGGATGCTACAACAACAGCACAAGGGATAAAGGCTTGGGTTTCTACGTCTTTCCTAAAGAGCAAAAGCTTCGGGAGACGTGGATTCAGCTTATCAACAGGGCTGGACGGGGCGGCAGGTAAGACATCTTATTAAATGTATAGTGCCGCTTTGAAACTAAATAAGCGTATTGCGGTGGTTTTTTTTTTCATGTGAATGTTTAATCATGAAGCTTAGCATACCAAAGAATATGATCTTTGCTCACTCTGCCTGCGTATACTCTTACCGGATAGCTCAGCCGCGGTTCGCGGTTGTGCATGCCGGTCATTTTTTAGATGCGGAGCATCTTATACTCGCGCCTTGTAGTGCGCCGTCCGCGCCGTCCGCACCGCTTCTCGAAAATTCGACAGCTGACGCGCGCGCATGCGCCGTCGCGCCGTCGCCCACTCTTCCACCATCTGTGCATCCCTTCCTCCTCTACACACCGCGCGCGCTTCACTCCTCCACCATCTGTGCACCCTTCCTCCTCTACACACCGCGTTCGACATCTACAATTCTCCTGATTCTCCAGTGGACGCGCATGTGGCGTCGCGCTTCGAGAACATTCAACAGCTGACAGTGCATGCGCCGTCGTGCTGTATATATACTCAAGGTCGGCGCTCGCTCGCTCAGTTGCCGCTTGTCGGTTGGTTTGTACGGCGCGTCGACGTCCAAGGTCGCGGTGAAATGAATTCCAACGAATCCACAAACACAATGATCGACGTCCCTTCGACCAGCGCCGCCCTTTCGCATACGTGTGTACGTGTTCACTCATTTAACACCCCCTCCTACAACCACGTTAACCAATTTAGCCATCGAGCCAAGTAAGTCGCAATTTAACACCCCATTTCACAACCACGTTAACCAATTTAGCCATCGACCCAAGTAAGTCGCACTTTAACACCCCGTTAACCAATTATATGGTCCGCATCCTCCTCAGTGTTCCCCCGAAGGAAGCTGCGGGCAATTTTTTTAGCGCATCTTCCTTAGTCAAGCGTTTTTTGTTACCGCTGCGTACTAATATTATTATTATTACGAGTTGTAGTGCTGAGGTCTTTTAGTTTTCCATGTTGCGCAAGTGCAGCACCGCGTACGCGGCTTGCGTTTTTTTTTTTTTTTTTACAACGCAAGTGGCAAGCATGCAGGCGTAAGGGGAAGGCAAGCTCATTGACGAGGCTCTCCTAATAGCTCTACCGTACATCGAGACCTTACTTTTTAGAAACGACGTAACGTACTTCACGGCACGCTTGCAACAACTTACCCAGAACTCGTTGTGCCAAACGGCGATTAGCTTTCGCGGATCACCCTCGATGCAAACGGTGCCTCTGTAATCTCGTCCTTTCCGTAAAATAGTTATCTGGTGCATGCACGCGGCCGATTTCGCTGCACCTATGCAGATGAGTGGCACAAACAGCTGTATAATTTACCTGTGTGTGGCGTTGTCGAGGGAGGCTGAAAATTAAAATTACATTTGTCATTTGCCCTTGACTGATATGGAACTTTTTGTACGTTAATCAAGAGAAAGTGATACTGTTGTCTTGCAGTGGTAGCATGCAGACTGGACATTTAAAAGGAACCTGAAAACGCAGTAGGTGATGTTCAGTGTCATATGAAATAATGCTGGAACTTTTTGTGCTCAGGTTCTCCAAGTTTACGCCTACCACGGGACACCGAGTATGCGGTGCCCACTTCGAAGGAGGAAAAAAGACTTACATGAACAGAGTGCCCACAATCTTCCCGCTGAGACCGCAAAAGGTGGAAAGGAGGCGACCACTCATAAGGACACAGGTAATTTGAGTGCAAGCAATGCAGAGAAATAGCATTACGTTGTTGCATATGCACCACTGAATATTTTGTTATGGCTTAATGCAGGCAATGGCTACTTAAGGGTTGCGCTACTGCGTAAAAAAAGCAATGATGCCGAGTAAACTTAAACTCGTGTGAAGGTATAAAATGCAGTATTGGAAATCTCACCTGCAGCTGCACAGTGTGTTGTAAAAATCACTGAAACACATGGCTTTCTTTTTTCATTTTCCCCTGACAGCCGGAACTTCCCAACAGTCCAACTGTGGCACCCCAGCACGACCCAGAAGTCTCAGGCTCTGCCATCACTAGTAGCAGCAGCGACAGTGAAGACACCGCACAGCAAAGCACTCTACTCATGGACCATGCCTACAGCAGCCAAGAGTCAAGCTATGACCAGCTTGCCAAGAAAGTTGCTTGCCAAAATAATATAATAACTGAGCTAGCAGAAAAGGCTGAAGCTGCTTACGCGCATGTTGAAGAGCTCAACCGCCAGCTAAAACGCTCTCAACAGGACCACGCTGAAGCAAAAAAGCTATGTGACCGCCTTCAGCAGAAGAATAGGTGCTTGCGGCTTGAGCTATCCTGTATGCAGAAGAAAGTCAAGAGGTGCAAGGCTGAAGCTACACAAAAGATTGACATCACGTATGAAGTCCTTGTAGAAGATGAAAAGAAGCTGCGGTACTACACTGGCTTTACATCCAGAAAGTCCTTCGACAGTTTTTGGTCCCTACTTGAACCAGATGCGAAAAAGCTGCGGTTCTGGCAGATGAAGGAAACGGAGAACGAGGACCGGAACTTCATCCTGCCTTTGAAGACACAGCTTGTGCTCGTCCTGATGAGGCTACGGCTGGGCCTTGACGGCCTTGACCTTGCGTACAGGTACGCTGCCAACGTTGAAGTGTTTTTTTTTTTTTTGCATCAGTACTCATTTTTGCCTTTGCATAAGGTCCAAGTGGAGTGACTAATGAAACTCTGTTACCATGCCAATACATTTACGCGGGCATACTGTGTATAATGTTATTTATGAATATGCTGTGAGGGAAACAAGCATAACCCAATCAGCCCGAAAGGGGCCATGAAGACAAAATACGAGTTTGCTTTATTCAAAAGATTTGGTATTTTGTAATACCCTTAGTGCTTGTCCGGGAGCAAACGAACTTTCATTCACTGAGAAATTCAAGTTTAAGCCAAATTTCAGTGTTCCTGCCGAGCGTAGCTGGTTTTGTTAGTTACTTTGTGCATAGGGGGAATGCAGCATGCTGTGTATTTCCTCAAAATATCAGCAATGGTATGCAGCACTTTTTCACTTATCGTTTATAATGAAAATGACTGGAAGTAACAAGGTGCTTACACAAAAGGAATTCAGTACCGTTTAAGCATCTTCTGCAATGACATCTTCATTGCAACCGTAGGTTCTTTTGTTTGTGCTGCAGAAAATTACTGATGCGCATTTTTTGCAAATTTGTTTTTCGTACAGGTTTGGCGTTTCTACGTCAACCGTTTCGAGGATCTGGGTAACATGGCTGGATTTTTTGGACAACAGGCTTCGCCAGGTATGTCAGCACCAGTTATCTTTTTTTATTGCCTTTTGTTTGTGGTCTCTGTGATGGCCGCGACAAATTGCAACATTTATGGGAAGGGAGAAAGGGGACTGGATGGAATTTTAGGTATAAAAGGCCAACTGTACACTGATCAGTCGCGTAGCCAGGGTTCTATTTCAAGGGGTGTTTGTCAGCCTTCCCCTCATGGCCAGATATATTAGCCCCCACTACTGCCTTCCTGTCTGTCAAGATACCTGCTAAGAACGTACAGGTAATTTAATTCCCCGAAGCATGCTTTTTAAGCTTACTGCAAGATTGCTCAGCTTGAACACCTTGTGTTTGCATTCTAAGATGGATCGATTGAATTAAAGTAAATTTCAGTAAAACTACTCGTTAGGCAGTTGGTTCACGCTTGTAAAACCCAGAGCGCAAAAATACAACACAGGCGAAGCACAATGGGACAAGCACTCACTCTCAGCTAAAAATTATTGGAAGCAACGTCACATGTCACCTCACCTTAAATGTACTCATTTCACTTTTTTTATTCTGCGGGTTGCTACATGGCTCAGTGCCCGCGGCGTTGTGCTGCCCAAGGATGCGGGTTCGATTCTCGGCCGTGGCTTCCGCTTTTCTTACGCAGGCAAAAAGCGAAAATGCTCGCATGTTCGAGATTAAGGTGCTCGGTAAAGGTTCCCATCTGATCAAATTAAACTGAAGCCCTCCACTACAGTGCACCTTATAACTTATGTAGTGCCTGTGCATTATAACTCAATAAATCAATCGATGAACCTTCTGGGTCTTACAGCACATGCCCAATGCAGTAAATGATTTTATTTATATGTAACGATGCTTCCAAAAAAAGTTTTGTTGAGAGAATGCTTATCCCAGCATGCTTCTCGTGTGCCCGTGTGTTTTTTGCTAATTTTTAGAGCATTTGTAGATTCATTTGACAGTGTTACAAGCTGTGATGACTCATCTTGCGGTCTCTACTGCAGAGCAGTGCCAGTACTTGTGGCAAAAATCAAAGGTGGAGAAGGTGACTTTTTAAATCGTACATTAAGAGCAATGGGGAGATTCATGTGCATTGAGAATGCAGTCTTAGATCCTTCGCATAGATCCACCACTCTAAGACCACTCCCCCCGCCCGTTCCTAAGCCACTGATGATATTAATGTAAAAAATATGAAAACCCACTTTTCCTTCTTTTTTTCAGGTCCCAACTTGGATGCCTCCCCACCTGTGCGACAAGTACAAGCCACAAGCTTTCACTGACAAGGGCTACACCACTGTTGACGGCATCCTCGACTGCACCGAAATTTTCATCGAAACCCACTCGTCATTCCGTGTACAGAGTGAGACCTATTCCTCGTACAAAAAGCACAATACTGCAAAAGGGTTAGTTGTGTGCAGCCCGAACGGCTTTGTTATGTTCGTGTCCGATCTTTCTCCTGGGAGGCTGTCTGACAAGGCCCTAACAAAGGCTTCCGGTGTGTTGGAAAAGTTCTCACCAGGGCAAAGCTTGATGGCTGATAGGGGGTTCACCATCGAAGAAGAGTGCAAGGAACTTTCACTGCACCTGAACATTCCGCCATTCATGGAAGGACGGCCTCAACTGTCTGAAGCAGATGAAACTGAGACAAGGCTTATTGCCAGTGTGCGCATACATGTGGAAAGGGTCATTCGGAGGATAAAGACCTACAGAATACTCTCACAGGTGTTTCCAAACAGCATGTCTGGACAACTGAACAAGGTGTGGCATGTTTGCGCACGCTTGACAAACTTTGTGGGTGAGCCATTGCTGTGAGCAGATGTGAGTGAAGTCTGCATGTCTGCTGATAGGCTGCGCCAGTTCGCTTGCACTACATTTGGCTACTTTTTTGGCCATGCAACACAGCCAGAAATGGGAAGGATATAGGCCATTGTGCCTGTTCTAGGAACTGCTCACCGTCTCTCCGAGCTTTTTTATTCACCTTAGCCCAAAACAAGGAACAACCCAATCCCTTCAGGAGGGCACGTACGAAGAGCCGTATCCTTCCCGTGCACATTCAAGCATCATAAGAAATGTCCCTGCCTAGGTTTTGTATTCAGTTTATTTGCTTTGTTTACTTGGTCATTCCCTTATTCTCTAAATTTCTTGAGAACTACGTTTACTTGCACGAAAAGATGTGTTGTCTGCATTGACCCCCCTTTTCTTTTTTGTTGTCATAACACATTGCTACCTGTACTGTCATGAACGTGCATTATGCAATAGCCATACTCTCTTCATCTCTGTCACCATTTCAAACTGCGGCACGTTTTGATGCTTTCCATTAAAATCGAAGTGAACCCATGCCTGGCGGTGTCAATGAATAGGTACATACATTTATTTCGATAGGGTAAAAGCTCGTGATCGTGGCCATAGCTGCCCATTGAGAAGCATACTTGTATGGGCTATCACCATATTGTCCCCTTGTGTCCAGCCATCCAGTCTGCTGTGGTTTAACATAAACATGAAAGGTTAATTAACAGGCTGACGTAGCCTTTTAATGCGTGACAGCATTCATTGATAAACTGAAGGTATGTTGAGTGTATCATTTCCTGCATAGAAACCAGCTGCAAGAGGATAATGGAGCTGTGAAGAAACGGCGTTACACAGTGCTCGAGTAAATTTCAAGAAGCCTGCAACCGCCTGTTTTGCAAGAAACAGTTGTCTAAAAATATTTTCCACATAGGGCTCCAGTACAGTGGTTTATTTGACATTGTTTTCGTGCTTCCCGTAAACTGTGTAGGGCCTTCAGGAAAACAAAAAAAAAAAAAAAACAGGCCAGAAGGCACATGATAGTACAGGCCTACACACTAGCAGTGGTGGGTAAAAAGTAGAGCCATAAAAGAAGCGGGTCACAACACATCATAGCACAGGCCTACACATTAGCAGTGGTGGGATAAAAGTTCGAATAGCTCATGCCAAGTGACACGTGAGCAGGTGCCTCGCTGTCCCACAAAACACTGATTCATGGAAAGCTGTGGCATGTGTTACCGGTCTGCTTGTTTAATTCACCTTGAATTAATTCAAAATGAAGGCGAAAAGAGAAGTACAGACAATGCAGCAGTAAAAGAGCCCGTCAATGTAACATTACATTGAACAAAGTGGCAATGAAGACAGACACAAATAACACAAATACCCTATCAGTAAAGAAGCAGTTAATAAGTATCACCAGGCTTTTTACCTCCACAGTACGTAAGCAAGCTTAGGTGCCCCGAGAATTTTTTTTAAATTCCACATAAGTTGCTGTTTTGGAGCAAGGCCGGCCCTTACAGTAGCACGCAAGCCATAATGGTGTGAATATTAGTAGCAACAATAACGCCAGTGGTGCAGTTTCGTGTGCTTCATGGCATAAATAAGCAAGCCTATGCCTCCGCGAAATTAGCATGAAGCACACAGACGCTTCACACTGCAGGGCCTCACGCTCATTTGTACTATTTTTCCCCAGCGCGGTCAACTTATGCACGTGAATGATGTACAAAGAAAGAGGGTAGACTGTTCTTGTTAACGCAGAACAAAAATGCACAAACCTCATACATAAACATCTTTGTTGTAGAAAAGGCAATTTACAGGCACAGAAGCAAAACTCTGGTGGGCTACTTCTACTGGCTTGAAGTATTTATGGTATGACAGAACACACGCACAAGCTTGAAAACATTTTCTAGCTTTACTTTACCAGTTACTGGAAATGTAGGGAAGCAAGTAGCTGGAAGTAAAAAAATTTGCAACGTTCTATGAATTCCTTGAAGAAACTCTGGTCAAATGGCACGGAGATTTGTCGGCACTCTTCCTTGCTGTAAACAAACAGCACGCAGGTGTTCAGACCAGTCACACCCATCTGCACTTGCACCTGAGTATAATAGCCACTACTTTTTTTTAGTTCCCCAGCACGCAACTGCCTTTTGGCAAAATCTTGAATTTTTAGGGGCACTTTGATCTCAAGCAGCCGTGGTGCGCAACATTTACACTTCACGAGCCCATCTGGGCTTGCACCTAGAAAAGCGTGATGACCAGAGAGGAAGAGGCCAGTTTCAGTCACCTCAAGCTCCACGTGGCTGTCATTTTTGTCCTGAAAGGCTTTCCTGGCTTCAGGCTCACACAGCAGGCCTCTCTTCATGGTAAATGTTGCCCTGCCTTTCTTTTTTCCAACCACTGCTGCGATGAGACGTCGGGGATCATGCGGCCCCATTTTGGTTTGGCACGTCCTGACCCATGTGTAAACTCTATGCGCTACAGATGCAGTGATCAGACCCTCCCTATACATATGCCAAAGGAGGCAAGCACTTTGCAGTCGTGTGGCTGCCTCTATGGCTGTAACTTCTTCGTCTGTGTATGACAGCAAAGCATTCCCCTGTTTGGCTCGCTCCAGCCACCTTAAAGGTAGCCCAGCCACATCTTCGGTAGCGGGGCTCTCAACTTTTCTTTGTTTTTCGGGAAGAAAGTCATTTGCTTCAAGTACGTCTGCGAAGCAATCGAGCCCACATTCTTTGAAGTTTCCATGCAAGTTTATGAGGCTCAGTGTTGACAGATTCGAGTCTTGTGTTCTCAAGCATGAGTAGGCTGCTCGTTTTTTGTGAAGCCTTGGTGCATCACTGATTTTTTCAGTGGTGTCCTTGGAGAATACAATCTGTTGAAATTGCTCAGTCACTTTTTTTGGATCCCGCGGGTTGTACCACTGCCGTTCACCTTCAGTGCATGCAATGGCATTTGGTACTTCAGTGAGATCATGTTGCGCAATGTGCATCAGCCCGTACAAAACGCAGCAAACATGTTTGCAGACACCACCTTTCCCAGCAACACATGAGCAGCTGCCACTGACAAGCTCCCCATCACACTTAAGCAACTTCACCCCAACACTGTACACTGTCCGTGTTGCCATGGATGCCAGAACTTGTGCCTTCACCACCGTCTCTGCGGTGTCTTCAGTTGAAAACACCAACTTTTGCAGGTGGCCTGATGTGAAAAGCCGCAGGCCAGCATCTCGATGTTTTCTAGCGCCTTTACTTTCAGTGTACCTGCATGAAGAATAAACGTTCACGTTTACATGCTGTGCAAGACTTTTTCCTTCCAGAATATACATTTACACATTTCACCCTTTAGTTAACTGTTGCATAATAAAAATAATCCCACTTTCAGGCCTGCAGAAACAGCTGAAGAAATTTTTGTAATTGTACTTGGCTAGAACAGTTGGCATGAGTACATTCCTGTGCATAAACACCTTTTGATTCCCTACACAAATTTGCACACTCCCACTTTTTGTCCATTGTGCAAGTTCTGAAGATATAGAACTAAAACTAAATTTAAGAAGACTGTCTACTGCAATCAGATATGTAAAAAACTTCATTTTAAAGTGACCTCAAATTGTAACAGCAAAATGGTTGGGAGCTGCGCTAGTTGGCACGTATTCGGATGGGAATCAGTGGAACTTTGTCGGAAACACACGGCACACTGTTGACTTTGTGATTGGGAGCGACGGAAGTAATAGCCGGCGAGAACAAACTTTCAGGAAGATGGGGACGATCGAGTAAAGTCGGGCTCGACTCGATCTGGGCGCTTTGTTACGTGGTCTGAAACTTCACGAAATAATGTGAGGGGAATGGAGGAGAGAAATGCCAGCTTTAATTATTCATTTCTCAGCAATCAAGAGTTGTTGGTCATTGAATAAAAGCTGAGAAAGCTACAAATGGCGTTATTTTCCAGCTAAACACAAAGTTACTCAGACCCGCCGCGGTTGCTCAGTGCCTAAGGCGTTGTGCTGCTGAGGGAGAGAATGCAGGTTCGATTCTCGGCCGCGGCGGCCGCTTTTCTGATGGAGGTGAAAAGCAATAACGCCTGTGTTTTCAATATTCCGGCGCACGATAAAATCCCCAGGTGGTCAAAATTAATACGGAGCCCTCCACTACGGCGCGCCTCATGCCTGCATTGCATCGGCGGATTAAACCACACAATCAACAAAGTTACTGAGCCTGTAGCGTACCACTTTAATAAAGAGAAGAATTTTTGCATACTACAGAGCCTACAAGATGGGTAGAGCTTTGTGGCACTAGGAATAGTTCAAGAAACGTTACACTTTCTGAAACATTTGGGTGTCAGCATGCTCTTTTTTTCCCAAATAGCACTCATCAGTTTTAGAGAATCATGACTGCCGAGTTAAGTTTGCATACCTGACAATGTGCTCCTTTCCAAAGTATGGGTTCAGGGAGCTTGTTTTGCAGGTCCACCCTTGACTGTTGTGGTTGTGTAATACAGATGCCATGGCACAGCATTACACGGAGCTGCAAAAAAAAAAAAAAAAAAAAAACAGAGCCTGAAGGTTAGTTTAATCTGAACATAGCCAGCTAAACTTTCTGCTAAGCCAATACACTTTCTTAGATTACATATTTTTATCAGGGCGTTACCCTCTATTGGTGGAAGATACAAACATCTGCATGCTGCGTACTCTATAAAAGAACCCCGGGCAGTGTCAGACAGTCGGTGCCCGTTGTCCACGCAGAAGCCAGGCCAATGAACCAGCTGCACGTATTAATAACATAATATGCCTCCACTGCATGATGCTCGTACCCGATGAGTAGTAGTAAGGACGTGTGGACTAGTTGGTGTGGTAGCATCATGCAAAAAAGCACAAAAAACAATGAAACGCAGCAGTAGTTCTCATGAGAAGAAAAGAGAAGAAATCGCTCGCCCTGTTTTCAGGACCTTACCAGTACCAAATCTTTAGTCACATTATAGTAATCCCATGACAGGGACTGCACTTTACTAGTGCTGAGATAATCTTCACTGTTGCACATACTGCACACAGTAAATACTCTTAAGAGAAAAAAGCTTAGCGAAGTAGAAATTACAAAGACCATAAACAACAGGGCTATAACAACGAAAAAAAATAACTGCAATGAAATAACGCAGGACCACGACAAAAGCCATAATAAAAACGCAATCCATGAAAAGAATATTGATTATTTAAAAATGCAGCCAATGCATTACTGTACCGCAAGAATGCAGTTTTCTAGGCGATGCCGTCCTCCAACCACACGAACCTGCAGCTCTCTGGTAACTGCATGTACAGAGGTAAATACTGTTAACAACGCACGAACGCGTGGCTTTCGATACGTGGAGCACAGCCTGCTGATAGCCACTGGCGTAACCAGCGATATTAGGTGACGGCGCTGCGGCGGCTTGGCATGCGAAAGCTATTGCCCATGCTTCCTTTTTTTTTGGGGGGGGGGGGGAGGCAGGGAGAGATTCGACACCAGAAGTCCCTCACCACGACCGTCGCCAACACATAAAATAAACGATATCTGACGCTGATAACCAGCGAAGTCTGGATCATTTTCGCCTTTGGTATGGTTACTACGTTCCCCTTTCTTTATTTCGGAACTATATACCAAAGGCAATAAAAAGACAGCACTAGTTATCAGGGTAAGATAACGTCCCTTGTTGGCTCCGTATCCTTACATGCGGCTCAACCGACAAGTGCGAATGACTGATGAATGCGTATCACAGCTGCTAATGGAGAGCGGCGCGTTTGCATATTCACGTGCGCGAAACATGGGACGCTACAATGTCAAGAGTTTTCAAAATATAGCGACCGCGTCGTTCGGTGGACTAAAATCAGAACGCCACCCAAATTAAGAATTTCAAATATTATTACTACCAAATGCTGTATGTTGAACGCGACACTCGTGCACGTAAGTGCCGTAAGACACGAAAGGTTCGGCGCCGCATATAAAGCCTGTCCCCAACAGCACGTCACTGTGCAAACAAACGTTGCAATCCCCGAGATGCACATGCGAAAAAAACAGTCGCGCAGAACAACCGCTTACATACATCACTCAAATGAAAACGGTACTCAACAGGCAATGAACGGGTGGCTGTCCTAAGTCCCGCCGAAACGAAGGAGTAGCAGGCACTTATGACCGAAATTCGCGCCGCCTGCTCCCATTAACAGACAATGTAGGTATTGAAAATACTCACATGACGACTTTTTCTTGCTGGTGAAATCGGAGAGACGTCCGCGAAGCTCCGGCGCAGTACTGAAAAAGCGGCGGCCACTGCGTAGTCGCTGTAGTCTGGTTGACCGATTGACTACAACTAAGATGGCGGCGGGGCAACTCCGGAAAACCGGCGCATGCGCTGATCGGCTGGTGGGATCGGTCTATTCGGCCAATGTTACCTAGAAGATTATCAGGCCTGCTCACTGCCGCCGTGACGCCACTCGTTGTGCCCGAGTGATGGCGTGTACGAGGCTGTGAATCCATTGACACCATCGTCTCCCGTTAAAAGATGAAGCATTGGCGGCGAGTTTGACATGCTTAACAGCTTTCTCATGCATTTTGAGTAAAAAAAAAAGGCGCCAGTTTAAGTAATGTATTGCGCCTGAAAGCGTTTGGAGAGTCACCTGTGAGCCATTTCTTCCACGAAAAAGTTAAATATTGAACGCTATCGAACGTGTGCTCAATCTATTAAGAAAAAAATTAGATGGACCAACAAAGTGACGCAATAAATAAGGTAAACTTTATTCATTATTTATTTATTTAAACACACACACGCACGAACACACACATGTCTATAGAGCATGCAAAGAAACTGTTCCTACTTATTTGCAAAGTTTCTGCCGTTTTATCAGTACTCTTCCGAACATCTGCCTTCATAAAAGCGAAGTTATAGAGGAGAGTGTGTGCTGCTGCCACAAGTACGTTATTTAGCGCAATATCAGGGTGATGACCACTGCAAGACACAACAAAATCTTTGTTTCACAAAAATCGCTTGTGACCGACTCAAGAAGTGGTGCTTCCTCTTTAGCTCTGGCCCCTCTCGCAGTGGTGTGTAGTCGATCAAATAACTTATAAGATCTGGGAATACTATTAGTACTGGGTCTATATTAAGCCGCGTAGCCCCCGTGGGCACTCAAACTGCACTGCCGGTTCTTGGATCGGTATAGCTTTGGTAGTGGTTTAAATATTCTAGCTTGAAGTAGAAATCACTGCACTTAAAAACCAATTAAAGCGCTTTACCCGTGTCTTCACGCACCTAATGTCAAAGAAACATAGTAGGCTAAGGCTCTGACCGCAATAATACCACAATAAAGCGGGACACCGGCAGGAAAATACTATGCACAAAACAGATGCACTAAAAATGCAACAGCATTCCTTACATTGTTTTTTATCAACCAAGTGAACAGAAGTAATACTTTAAGTCCGCGGCGCTAATCGCCAATAGCAAAATGTTTACAAACCCTGAAGTAAAAATGGCTGCTCTGAAAAGTACTGCCACGAGCGTTTACTATTTTAATGCCAAGGCTTACGCCGATTAGTCAGGAACACACATGGCACGTTTATTTTAAAGCAAGAACAGAACATAGGGGAGACGGGGCCATCGGAACGATTCAGAAACATATAGTACGGACACACGTACCTTCGGGTCCCAAAGAAAACCGATGTCGACGTCTGCTTGACGAAGGACACCCTTGCATTCCGTTCTTCGGTTGTCCTTAGGAAACGAGAACACTCGCAACGTCGGTCCCTTCGCGCAGCATCGCCTAACCTTTTGAATTGACCGCCGTACAGATTGTAAATAGCCGGTGCTCAAAATGCATCACATACTCACGCTGGAGTTCGTGGACAAAGAAAAGACGGTCTTCTGGATTTGCTAACAAGCAGACCAGAACGCCACGAAAACGTTTGTCGGGTTTGGAAATTCATGTCTTTCGTGCGACAAAAGCAATTGTAGGCACGTCCTAAACACACTGGCCTAAACGGAGTGACGTAAGAGCCCGTGGCAGACACACTGAGCAGGCCCGAAATTATCTAAATGACATTGATTCAGTCCACTGTGCTGATTACGTCATATTCGGCATCGGGGCCCTCGGCTATGACGAAGCAGTGCTAATGTCGCCCGCATAAACATGCAAAATACAATAAGGGGACATAACGAACAAACAGTACGAGCAACTGCCTCGTTAAAGGGGCACCATGCTTACACACTCGCTGAAGGGGAGAAAAAATTAAAAATAAATTCGAGAGATGCATGCACTACTTAACCATGGCACGGGAGATGTCCATCACAGTACGTCCCATAGCAAGCGGAGTTTACGAGCATTAACAGATTTCAGTCTATCCCAATTACTGCTTGAGAAGAATTGAGAAATGCGGCATTGTGACCCTCGTACTTAAGATGGCTATTTGCAGCACCATTACAGAACAATGAAAAAAAAATCATCCAGTGTTCGACGAGAAAGATTACCATGCTGGAATTATAGCAGCAGCTGACATCAAACACTAGGGACCAGTAAATGTCTCAACTTGCTTTTTTTCTTTCTTTTTTTGAAATAATCATCGGCGTTGTTTTATTATTATTTACCACACCAACTGTAGCATAACAATAATTGGTGGGGTTTAACGTCTCAAAAGTGCCTTATGATTATGAGAGACGCCGTAGTGAAATGCACCGAAAATTTCTACCACCTGGGGTTCTTTAACGTGCACCCAAATCTGAGCACATGGGCCTCAAACACCAACTATAGCGCACCTCTTCCTGTTATTGCCATACTATTCAGCTATCAGCTAGAAATTACGGACAGAAAACAAGGAAAAGCGTAAGCACTTCGCTTTTTGAAAAGCTTACCTAATTGTCAAATGTTAATAAAAGTATTTAAAGTGGTGTCAGTGCGTGACAGTACATGATAAGGGTCTCCAAAACGCAGGCTATATACATGCGGCCTGCGAACTTATAGTGGCTAGGCCCACCCATGAATGCCTGTATTCGTTCCACAGTTATATAGTTTTAATTTCTTAATAATTATCTTCTTGAGCTGCATAGACGCGACTAATTTCCACTTTTTTGTATATGAGGCACCCAATGCAGTCACCATGTGTTGAAACGCAACCATGTAACAAAAGTTGTGTATTTCAGGATTGGCGTCTAGACTTGAGTCCTTATGAGATGCAGTATCGGCATGTTTTAGGAAACTCGACGTGAAATGCCCGTCATAAATGGCACATATATGACATATTGACGTATGCATGTGGGAGGTGGTGGCCAGATACTGCACCAGGGTGGCCAATCCTTGTCTGGTGAGGGAGTGCGTTACCGGCGGTGGTTACCGGCGAGGCCGCACCCCAGGCCTCTTAATGCAGTTCCATCCTCACGCGGATTTTTTTTTTTTTTAATCCAGTTGGGAGCTTCGCGGCTCCGGGATTCGAATCACGGACCTCTTGCACGCGAGGCAGGTGCTCTAACCACAACGTCATCGCTGCAACGGACTGAGTTTACTGGCGGAACAGGGTAGATGCCTTTGTCCTGCAGTGGACGTAGTCAAGATGATGGTGGTGGTGGTGGTGGTGGTTGTGGTGGTGGTGGTGGTGGTGGTGGTGGTGGTGGTGGTGATGATGATGATGATGATGATGATGATGATGATGATGATGATGATGATGATGATGATGATGATGATATGGCATATGGGGAATGTCATCGTTGAAATGACAAGGACAGCAGGATGTTTGTTCAAATTCTCACCTTCTCCCTTCCCCATCCTATAGGCTCCAGTCTTCTTCACTGTTCCGGGACTTGAGGGCGGCAAACTTGATTGCGTGAGTGCATGCGACCTGCTAGCTGAGGTGAGTTTGATATGCCTAGGAAGAAAAAAAAATGCTTGGCAAACACGCATGTATACAATGCGCATGAGGTCGTGCTGTTCGCACGTCCCTTTAGCTGGATTGCCGTGAAAATATTCAGTGAGTAGCCAATATCAATATTGAGTGGGCTTCCCGGACGCCGGAAACACGCTTCGGCTGTACGAGAAGTCTGTCGCCATGATCTTAAACCAGGCTCACGCGCATGCTTTATTTACTTATTTACAGTGTATTGCAAATAATTTGCAAGGTTTTGTGCCTTTTCAACTGTGCACAGAAAGCGCCTTTTAGGCTTCTTGGACTCGCCCCACCCCTCGCCTCGCAGTGGTGATCTAGTGGCTAAGGTACTCGGCTGCTGACCCGCAGGTCGCGGGTTCGAATCCCGGCTTTGGCGGCTGAATTTCCGATGGAGACGGAAATGTTGTAGGCCCGTGTGCTCAGATTTGTGTGCACGTTAAAGAACCCCGAGTGGTCGAAATTTCCGGAGCCCTCCGCTACGGCGTCTCTCATAAACATATGGTGGTTTTGGGACGTTAAACCCCACATATCAATCACCCACCCCTCGCGGATGGAGAACGTGCTTGCACCCGCACTTGCAGTGGATGTATGGATGGATGCTATGAACATCCCTTTTATAATATAACGGTGTGCTGACATGTCTGCCACCACCTGCGGTCAGGGCATTCCCACCTGCACGTGCAGTGATGACGCAGTGACGCCCGCAAATCACCCATTCTCGTCTTTCAAGTATGTGAGAAATGCGTTGTTGGTGTGTGCAAAATGATGCCGATATCTTATTTGGGGACCTGTATCTCAGGATTTGTGTGTAGGTGTAGAATGTGCATAACTGTCGCTGTCCGTCACAACTTGACAGCTTCAAGAAAAAACACTTCACCCCCAGCCCCTCTTCACTCGTGGTTGCTATGGAGAGATGTTTAAGTGGATTCCCTAGACCGTGGACGTTCGAGGGACGTTCCCTTCAAACAGTCACCCGTACAGGGATAGCGCATTTATAAGGAAGACATTTCCTTAACTTTTATAGGAATGTCAACTTATATAGTGAGCCGCGCCGGGCTCACACTCGGCACGATACTGTCGTCTTGCGAAGCGTAAATAAATTTCTGCAAAGTTTCTTCCTCACGAGTCACAATCTGCATTGATTCTTTGTTTCTCATGTCCACGTGTCTGCGGTTCGGCAACTCTGCTCAACACAACTGCCGCCCGATGGTCGGCTCCTGCAGCAGGCCAGTCGGCAACACTGCGCCGTGCAGACGAACATCATGAACGAACCGAACCGTTTAAATGGTGTCGTTCCTCAGGGCTATTCGAGAAATAGGCGTGCGGTTGGCACATGTTTCTGGCAACGTTCCCGATTTTTAGCACTAGAACCTTTTTTCAAGACCAACAGATGAGCAGCTGGCAGCGCCACTTGCTTCTGCAGTTTAATGTATTGCCGTTCCAATCTCTCTCGGTTTCCTTGCTTTGTTCAGCACACCGTGACGTAAATACCACATTACAGAGCGGT